AGCTGGGCCAGCAGGCTTAGTGCAACCCAGCTGTCTCCGAGATGCTAATAGCTCTCAGGCTTTCTGAAAACTTCCAAGCAACTTTCTCTGAATCAAAATAGAACGTAAAATTACTTCCCTCTAACATACTAATTATCACCACCAAAGTACTTGTCAGATGATACTGAAACATAATATCTCAGCCAAAAGTGCTGGCCCTGTAGCTAAACACATCCCAGGTTCAAATCCTCCCCTGCCGCTTTCTTATTGCAGCAGGTGACTTATTTACCTGTAGCGGACCTCACTGTCTTTCAGGTATAAAACCAGGCAAAACACTTCACACTCTATAGGGTATGGGTATGAGTGAAGACCACATGGTTCACGCTCTATAGGGTATGGATATGAGTGAAGATCACATGGTTCACACTCTATAGGGTGTGGATATGAGTGAAGACCACATGGTACACACTCTATAGGGTATGGATGAGTGAAGACCACATGGCACTTAAATGATGCTGACAGTTCTCAACCCATGTTAGTCATTAGTTTTCAATATTGACAAAAAGAGACTAAGCCAAAAATAAACCTCTATGACAGAAAGCTTTCCAAATACTAGTTAATGATTCACTGACCAGAGTTGCAGGTATTACAGAACACCGTACCTGGGATTAAAAACAAACAAACAAACAAACAAACAAGCTTCATGCTCACTGTACCATTCTGGTTTAACTTTCGCCAATTTCTATTACCCATACCCTCAGATTTAAGAGTGGAGGAAATCAACAAGACATGGTATTTTTAAAGACAAAGTTTTCTTCTTTATCCCTAAGTTAGGAATGTTCAACTGTGCTATGCCCGTGTTTGGTCTTTGCTCAATGACTACACAGGCACCAGAGCCCTGAGTCGGGCTGGCCCACCCATCCCACCAAGGCCCCATGCTAGGCCTAGTGTCTTCATCTCTGCTCTTGGGCAGTCATGAGTGAGTCCAAGCAGACTGGGACCTGCCCCAAATATAGTTCTCGAAATAGGAGGACAGTGAACACTTAGGCATTCCGTCTGCCATCTTTAGGACTTGAGTAACTTCATCAATAAAAAAGTAGGGCCAGATATGACAACCTCCTCTCCTCCAAAGGCATCATGGGTGACTATTGAATGCCAACTATATAGGGACTATTGTAGCCACAGCAGAGCCCCTCAAACCTTAGTAGAGACAACAAGGCATACATGGTTATCAGAACGCTACAAGAAATTCAGAAAGGAGATGATGGCCACAGCATAGCAATCTAAGACTCAGAAAGGACCCAGTCATGAGGTGCCTGCACGCCAGAATCAACATCCATGGTTCACACCACAGACAACACACTGGGCTCAGCAGGCCCAGCACCAGCCTGGAGGGAGAGACCCAGAGGAGTGACAGAGAAAGAGACAAAGTCAGACTGCTGGAGACCCCAAAGGCCAGAGCAGGTCAAGGGAATATCACCCTATATACGTGAACCAGTAAGGTGCACTAAGCTTATCTTACACAAAGGAAGCTACCACTAGACAGCTAATAGAAAGGCCTGTGTGGTGTCTGTACTACTGCCAAATTAGATTCAGCGTACTAGATAATAAGGTTGGGGGGTGGTGTCTGTAACTCTAACAATAAAGTTAAATGGGTTTTTCTTTCCTTTCATTATGACTGATAAATAATTTTTTGCATTACTATACCAAATAATTTCATAAACTACATAAATAGGGCTGGGGGATATAATTCATTGGTACTAGTTGCCTAATGTGCACAAGGCTCCTGAGGCCCATCCTTAGAACACTAACACACACACACACACACACACACACACACACACACACACACACACA